TTTTTTCGACCGGACGCGTCCGGTCCACCTTGACCGGACACAGACCAGCGTCCGGTGCTCAACCTTACTCACTGTGCCGTCTGACAGCTCGACCGGACGCAGCCTTTCAGCGTCCGGTCGCTGAGTGACCCAGCGTTCGGTCAGTAGACCGACGCCAGCATCATTTCGACCAACTCTATTTCAACTCTAACTTCTTCACCCTTGCTCAAATGTGCCAACCACCAAGAATTTTGCATCCGGCGCAATAGAAAATAGACATTTCATTTTTCCAAAAGCGCCGAATCCACTGGATCCTGCAAACACCTTGTGCACATGTGTTAGCATATTTTCACAAATATTTTCAAGGGTGTTAGCACTCCACTAGATCCTAAATGCATATGCAATGAGTTAGAGCATCTAGTGGCACTTTGATAACCGTATTTCGATACGAGTTACACTCCTCTTAATAGTACGGCTATCTATCCTAAATGTGATCACACTCACTAAGTGTCTTGATCACTAAAACAAAATGGCTCCTACATTTTATACCTTTGTCTTGAGCCTTTTGTTTTTCTCTTTCATCTTTTCCAAGTTCAAGCATTTGATCATCACCATGCTATCACCATTGTCATGATCTTCGTCATTGCTTCATCACTTGGAGTAGTGCTACCTATCTCATAAACATCTTGATAAACTAGGTTAGCACTTAGGGTTTCATCAATTAACCAAAATCAAACTAGAGCTTTCAGCCACTGACACCCTTCCCCAGACCCCGCACAGAGCGGGAGCTCTCTACCATGGGTACACCCTTTATCAGATACAATCTTACAATGCAACGTAGAGGTACGGAAACAAAGTTATTTATTGATCAATCAACTATCGTTATGGCTAAGCACTAACCCACAAAAGAATAGCAGAAACGGATAGATCATTCTTTGCGAATATGAGGGAAGTACATGTTACTGTGCCCTGTTTCCTTGAATTTGACATCAGGCTCATTACCTAGCAAATCCCATAATTTCACTCGCACTAAAGCACCCTGAAAAAAGAAAATTGTATATTCAAAAGCATGAAGCCAATGCTAAAATTAGAAACATCATCTAGATATCAAAAGCGCAATGTTTAATGTAACTTAGTCTAACTGCGTAACTTGTCTATTTTGTCATTACTGATCAATAATTATGTACACTGCAGAGTCACTGATAAACAATACACATTTTCATCGTGTCACTGTCACATACTGTATCAGAGTCACTGATACAGGAAAAGAAAGAACAAAGAAAATAGCCCAAAGCTATACCTTTGCACCATATTTTGCCTTCAATTCCGAGTTTCCACCAGTATAATCATATTGATGATGGGTGTTCAGTATATAAGTCAAGTTCTAGTTTCTCTTTTCCAATGCATTTATAATAGGCACAACCTCACTTTTTATGCTGCTTGGACTTATACAACAATAGTTAATAATTAGAAGAAATATAATTAACCACTCTAGAGAAAAATTAATTGGTACATACACTCAAGTTTGCAAAAACTGTTATAATAAAGCTCTCATGTGTATTGCCATTGGGGTCAAGCTCTCCCGTGTCCAACAACAAGGTTGAGGTGCCCAAAATCAATATCATGGCATCATCACTAACCATACATAAAACCTGGGAATTTAACAATAGAGCATTTAGTCAGCTTCCAATTCCACGGTATGATGACAATGAAATTGCATTTGAGACAACAGTTATCCAATACCAGTACATGATTAGCACCAAATTAGCAGTGGGCAACACTAATACTCTAATCCAATAGCCACATCAATTTGCGTATGTAATACAAGCTGGAATTCTATAAAGCCTTCTTCTTAGTGTGTGCTTTCTACACAATTTACAGCTAAAATAACTGCAGCATGGTTACCATATATCACTATAAAGACTTCATTTAACCATTAGAAATATCTTCCATGACCTGGCACTATAACCTTTGTCCTCAAGGTTTAAACTATATATCACTAAACTATTATAGAAAGAGGACGCTCAACACAACCATTAGCACCAGGCCGCCTTCGCAACCAGCCTGGTGCACATCATCAAGCATACTTTTCCTTTTACTCATTCTTTTTATTGTTGTATTTTTGGAGATAGAGCAGTTATTTTGTAGGCTATGTTGTACTGCTCTTTGCTTATGAAAACTACCGCAAGAGCGCATGTAATATATACTTATGTACTGCTCTTTTTCTTTTCCAATGTAAAACAACATATGTAATATATATACACCTATGTATGTATATATTTGCGTACTATTCTTAATTATTTTTGAACCCATAAATATAACATATATTTCATATATACATCGTCTACCCTCTGCTAACCCACGCGCACGAGGGCGCGTGCCATGTACTTCTAAGCTGAAAATTATAGCCTTTGCTGCTTTACAAGTTATCTGTCGGGGTCCAGCCAGCACGCACAATACATGGGCAGCTATCAAGCATGAGGTAAGTTGCTCATACATGCACATTCCATGTCCTTATCTTACACTTAGCATACCAGATAGACCTAACAAAATCAAATCCATAACCAGATATGCAGCTTGATCTCCATGGACAATGGCCTTTCTGACTATGAACCAAAATACTAAGAAGCTCATCAGCGCCATCTCAACCCAGATGTTTAGTTACTCCTGCAACCACTTTGTGTAGAAAATATGTATAATTATGTCCAACCCAGCATTGCTACTAATCAAGTCGCCTAGTATACAAGGCCACTTTGTGCTATACACTGTCATGCAATGTATAAAGTACCATGAGATCAGAATATTGCTAGAGTTATGTATTATGTAATATATATAGCTATCCTGCTATCAAATATGTGTCATGCATGTGCTCTAGGTAAAAAAAAAACCTGAATATTTCAGGCTCCCTATATTACATACTTACATTTAACTCATTGCATGTATTTCTGCCTAACTCGCATCGTGCGCAACGTACTAGTGTGCCTTCAAGCGAGTTTGAAGCCTGCGTGCGTGGGATGGAGGGCGCGGGGGTGAGAAGTCTGACATCACACATCAAACATCGGCCGTCGGATACATTCTGATGTTTTATTAGCTCTTGATTTCAACAGAGACAAATTTTTGTGTGTATTTTTCTAGGTGTACAATAGTTGGAGGCTTTCAGCAGAGGATGTTTTTGACTAGTATAATTTTGATTGGTCCATTATAGTAGAGATCTATAACCTATTATTTTTTGTTTCTTTTTTAATAGAAATTTATTTATTTTCCTTGTGCATAAGCTATCTGTAAATATACCTTCCGTTTCTCTTTTCTCTCTCTTTTTTTTCTTCGCATCTATATAAAATCTATCTATAATAACCCTTTACTGTACTCGTATTTTAAAAAAAGATTCAGGCACTGATGCTGTGGTGCACTGCTGGCCTGCTGCCCCCTCCTGTTTTTGTCTTGTACCATAGCGGCAGGAATCATAGGAGTACTCGCTCGCAGCCATGTTCCCTTGTCGAGGCGAATTATTGGAGGCCCCGGCCCGCGTGCCGTGGTGTCCACCATGCAGGTGGCCAGCTGGCGAGTGACGTCCGCACAGTCCAGCGCAGGCGCGGTTGTGCACGTCGCCGTCGTGGGCCCCGCACCCTGACTCGGCCACGCACTCACTCCCTTGCGCCTTGTGGGCCCCGCCAATCACTCTCGCACGGTCGACGGTCGCTGGCTCGCTGCTAGCCCGCCACCGCTAGACCGTATCGACTACTCGTATCAACAAACAAAACAAGTGCTTCTTATAGAAATATATATATATATATATATATAAATACACTTATTATTAGTAAATAAAAATATTTTTGTATATATAAAGAAATGTTTCTAGATAGTGGCTTTGTTTTTTCTAAATATATATTGCAGACATAATGCTAGATGCATACTGATATCTATTACTTGAGATATGAGAAAGCTAAGAGGATTTGGAATTAACAGATTCCTTGTAGAGAATGTTTCTGTTCCTTCTGAGCTAAGGTTGCGTTCCTGTGGCAATGTTTTGTTTGGTGTAGCCGTCGCATGCAGGTAACCGGTGAGCGAGCGATCACCTTCATCACTTGACTTGCGCGCCCAGTGGCGAAAGCGAACACTAAACTGTAGGCTAAGCTGCTGAGGGTACGACACGGAAACGGATTCAAGGTGGGATGATAAACCTACTCCAATCATAAACACGATCATATATTCTCCCTGTTTCAAAATATAAAATGCATTCATTATACCATCATTAATCTTCTCTGACTTTAACCAGTTCTTTTTTTTAGAAAAGTACCTTAGCTGTTGGAGTATATAAGAGCAACTCTAACCAAGACCTTATTTGAGCCCTCACACATTTTAAGGATTTAAACACGTGAAAAAGCTCTTCAACCGAGCTTCTATTTAGCCCCCAATAAATGAGGGGTTCTCATCGTCTCTCATGAAATCCCAGATATGGCCATGTAGGAGCCCTCATCCTTCCATCTACTTCTCTTTGCTCTCTTCACACAAAGCTCACAACTGGAGCCGATTAGTAGAGCCTATGATAAAATAGTGTAAAGTAAAAAGATTAGGAGATTGGTTAGAATGCTGAGAAGTGGAGGCTGAAACATGGATGATGAGAACGAGGAGGTGGGCAAAATTTGAGGGTTTAGTTTCGAGCAACCGAGATGGAACAGTAGTGGGCCTAGATTAGAGTATTTTTGTCCTTGGATTAACCAATTTGATCCACGAGGCCCACGAACCAATCCGGCCCATAGGGAGCGGAAGTAGGCCATCCCAGTCATCGTTCCTCGCCTCGAGGGCCTAGGCAAACTGCTGGGCTTTGTGATAAGCACAGGGACGTGGGCACACGTGCAGCTGCCTCTCCCAACACCCAACCCAACGACCCATCCCAGTTCCGTGACGTCTCTTCCTCTCTTCCCTTCACATCCATCTCCGCAGGCGCAGAGCCGAGAGCCCTCCCGTTCCTCCCTTCACTCCGCCGCCCGGATTCAGAGCAAGAGGAGGCAGAGGCAGGCATGGCAGCGATGCTTGTGGGCGCGCTGCGGAGGGGCAGTGGATGCCGCGGCGGCTCGCGCCTCCTCGCTCAGTCGCTTCGCAGATTCGTGAGTTCCCTCCCTCTCCTCGCATTCGGTTCAGTTCTCGCCCCACTCAGCCGGGAGGATGGTGGCGTTGCTCTGAGACAACTTAGATGCGCTCGCGCCGCGCTAATCTATCGCACGAGCCTGCTTCTCATCGCGGTGTCGGAATCGGTTCCCCGGTGGTAGTTCCGGATCAAGCGACTTGAGGGCGGGCAGACCGCGAGGGCGAGTTCACAATTCACATCGGTTCAGGGCTTCGAGTTTGCTCTCTGTAGGTGGTTTTGTGCTTATCTATCAGGTGTGTCTGTGTCCGTCGTCTAGGTGAGCACGCTGGTCGTAGCGGAGCACGAAGGTGGGTTCGTCAAGCCGTCGTCGCTGAGCGCATTGGCCGCCGCGGAGGCCATTGCCAAGGACAACAAAGTTTCTGTCCTGCTGGGTGGTTCCGGGCCGGCGCTTCACAAGGCTGCCGACCATGCCGCGTCCAGCCATCCACTGGTGTCTGAGGTACTGTGCTGCCGTTTGGCCCCCCTGTTCACTCCACTGATCACGTGTTTGTGGCTTTGTGCCACAGTGCCAGTTTCCTGCCTTTCAGCTCAACCCGAAGGAGGAGGTGAACCATGCTAGAAGACAGATCGTTCTTCGGGACGATTCTCTGCTTATCAAGTTGGTTTTGTATCACTGCAGGTGCTCGTGGCGGATTCGGAAGCCTTGGCGCATCCTCTGGCTGAACCGTGGGCTGAGCTGCTCCGTTCCGTTCAGCAGAAAGGAGGCTATTCTCATGTTATAGCTTCATCCACGTCGTTCGGGAAGAATTTGCTTCCACGTGCTGCGGCCCTTCTTGATGTCTCCCCTGTTACTGATGTCACTGCTGTAAAGGAGCCACACGTCTTTGTGAGGTCTGGTATTCTGCTGTTTGCTGCGATCTTTAGCATTTTATTTAGTATATATGGGCCCATTTTTTGTAACTTGGAAAACAGTCCATGCACCTCAATTTATAAGTTCCTATTTTTTCTGATCATCTGTTGTCACCTGAACAACTGCTAATATTAGGGATCTCCAGATCTCCCAGTATCAAAGTGTGGCAGAATATCAAATGCCCCTCTATTTGCTAGTTTATGCTTGACCTGAAGTGATAGCTTACTCTTACTGAGATCTGTTGCACTGTTTGTCGGTTTTATTAATTATCATCCTCCTTGCTCACTTCCCCGCCTAATGTGTATTAGTTTATGGGTGTTAAAATGCATGAGCTTAAAGACTGCATTCCATAGAATGGTCACATTTGGCCATTCACATAAGTCCATCACTGCCTTTTGTGATGTTTCCTTTTGTTGGGGATTCATGCTTTAGCGTAGAATTCAATGTTAAATGTCATCCAATTGATGTATGTATGACTTCAGGCCAATTTATGCTGGGAATGCACTTTGTACTGTGAAATATACCGGAGAGGAACCTTGCATGATGAGTATTAGATCAACTTCATTTTCCCCAACTACTGAGGCTATGTCTGAAACAAAGGTTGCACCTATCACCCAGGTTGATCTCTCTTTCCTCAGTGAAGGTTTGTTTGGTTCCTTCACCATATTCTTCTGTTAAGAATCAGCAATCTTTCTGAATTACTCTTATTTGTTTTGTGTTGCTCTAATAATGTTCTGACTTATACAAGTCTCGTACTAATTGAGGATCACTAGATTGATTTTCCTCTCCACATAACTTTTATAAAGTTGAAACAGGCTGCAGGAAAAAAAAAACCCGCTTTTGATAACTTAGTCCTGTATAAAGGGTAGACCCAGTGCCAGAGGCTCCCACATGAGTGGGGTCTGGGGAAGGGAAAAACCGAGGCAAGCCTTTTCTGCGATAACCCAGCGACCTGGTGACTCCTCTCACCTTGCACCAGGCTTGCCCTTCGATAACTTAGTCCTGTATACTTGATTTAATATTTTTTTTCACATCTGAATAGTACCTTTTCTTTTGAATCTTAGGGAAATCTTCATGGGTGAATCTGACATCCCAAGACACAGAGCGGCCTGATCTTGCAAATGCACGTGTAGTAGTCACCGGAGGCAGAGGTTTAAAAAGTGCTGAAAATTTTAAATTGTTGGAGCAGCTTGCTGAGAAACTTGGTGCAGCAGGTTTGACCTTCTATCTGTTTTTTTTTTCTTCCGTGTCCATACAATTATTTTTATCTTGGTGGCCTGAAATCTTGCAAAATTCATTCCCTGCAGACTGTTTTTCTGATTGATTATTTCTCTTTTCTGTAGTGGGTGCGACTAGGGCTGCTGTTGATGCAGGTTATGTTCCAAATGACCTTCAGGTAAGACTGCTAGTCTACTGTGAGTTCTGTTTGATCCGGCTAATCTATAGTTGTAATGCCTTGTACTGCTATTAAGCTAGCCTTATTACCACCATGCTCAACATTTTTTCGCGATCGGGCCATTGCTCAACATCATGTCAGCTTCTCCAGTTCATTGCTGTTTTCTTCTTCTGAACAACTATAAAGTTCATTGCCGGCTCATTTTATTCATGCAATGTGTTTTCTGTCCTCAGGTTGGTCAGACAGGGAAAATTGTCGCACCAGAGCTTTATATGGCTTTTGGAGTATCTGGAGCAATACAACACTTGGCAGGAATGAGAGATTCGAAAGTTATTGTGGCTGTTAATAAAGATGCTGATGCCCCCATATTTCAGGTTCCTCCTCGCATTTAATAAGTTACGTATTGTCCACCAGTATTAGCTAGAAGTCCTCAAAATTCTAAGCCAACCGGCCATTGGTATTCTCCAGGTTGCAGATTACGGACTGGTTGCTGATCTGTTCGAGGTTCTGGATGAGTTATTGAAGAAGATCCCAGAAAAGAAATAAGGGGCCGTTTTAGTTTTAACTCTTGCGTTCATTTGCCCATGTGGCGCTAATAAGATGAAGTCATCTCACGATGTCAATCCCACAATATTAGGGATGTTCTATGTTCTGGCCAAGGCCTGAAGGGATACACTCGCTGCCCTATTTCGAAGTAAAATGGCTGCTTACCAACTACTCCCTCTTCTATTTTAAATTATAGAACATTTTGTTTTTTCTATATACATAATTTTTATATGTATTTAAATATATACTATGTCTAGATACATAATAAAAGCAATATAAAAAAACATCTTATAATTTAAAATAGAGAAAATAGGTTGGTATCACACCATCAAAACATCCTGATCTGCAGATACGAGCGAGAAATTTAGAAGCCGACGCAGTATGTTCTCGATATTTGCAGTTCGTACGTCAACAACAGTTTGACGAAAACAAGCCAACCATTATCATGAACAGCCCCTTCTGAAGCGAACAATCTATATTGACAACCAGCACAACGTCAAATTGATGTCCATACATGATGTGTACACAGTAAATTGTTAAAACCTAATGATACATTTTGTGTGATTGTGAGGGGACAAGCTAACGACTTTCTATGAGAACACCATATAACGATCGCCAGAGCACCTTATTCTTTGTGTGGTCAAATTGAACACGAATACCATAAGTGACAAAAAATTGTAGAGAATGTCAATGATATATAATGTTACAAGTAAAATATATGAATCACGGCCTGTACGAACTAAACTGCTGGCGGTGGGCTTCCAGCGAGCCAACCCCACATGCCACCAGAACTTTGCCTCTGCTCTGCGTCCAGTGCTGCTTGCTCTGAAGCGGCTTTCTGTCGCCGAAGCAGCTCGACCTCCTTTTCCAACACATCCATACTCTGAAGCTTTTGTCGAAGTTCCGCAACATCAACCTGAGGAGGCGTTTTGGAAATTAAGTATGATCAGAAGTATAAGACAATGACGGCCAGGGCATAAGATATTTGTTGACGATCCACTGGAGAAATGTTGGGCTAATGTTGTGTTTGGAATAATGTACAACGTGTTATTTGTAATGACCGGTGAAATAAAATGCCAGCATGTACCTCAAGTTTGAAACATCTTGACTGCTCAGAAGCAAGTTGACCACGGACAGCTTGAAGTTCCTATACAAGGTAAATGGAAAAGGTATATAGATCAAATATCTGCTGAGAAATAATGTTTGAACAGTGCACAACAGTTTAGCTTCCAGATAACTTTGGTCAGATTGCGTTCAATATGCCAGTATGTCACAGTAAAATGGTATCGCACATGATGCTAACATCATTTAGCAATGAATAATCCATATAAACATTCAACAAAGCGAACGCTTGATCTAAACATTAGCAGAATGTAGTTTAAAAGTAGCATCAGACCTCAGTATAGTTCTAAAGATACATAGCGGGTGTAGTATTTTAAAGAGAAGGTTAATTAGAAGCTTAAATGAATGTGCATGATAAAAGAAAATAAGAAAAAAAACTAGTAAAAACAAGGTAAGCGAAAGATGACTCACCTTTGTCAGCTCTGCATTTCTGGTCTCTGCTTGAGCAATGTCTTCTTTAAATTGCACAGTTTGCAGCTGTTCCCTGCTAAGTGTTGCTTCTAGTTCCTCTTTCTGAGCTTTAAGATCTGCTAAAAGCTGTTCACTTGCTTCATCATTTCTGTTATTCTGGAATTCAGCACAGCACAAGGCAAAAGAAAGATCTTGTGAGTATCCTGCAACTTGGATCATCATCATTGGTAACAGCAACCACCATCATGAACTTTGTAACAGGCAAATTCTATTTGTTAATACTTGTAGCACCATTAGCTGCATTGCCTTCCTTGCAGAATTTCGATTGGTAACAAATATGGACACATGTCATATACTTCTAGTCAACAAGGAAAATTATCCTGGGTAGGAAATTACCAGGTCTGAATCGGCACTGTCCATGGCAATCTCTCGTATCTTCCCATCTTGAGAAATTTCAGCCTCAGGTTCTATGACCCTAGATGTAGTATCTGAGACAGTTTCTTCTTTTATGGTTGATTGCGAATCTGATTTGAGGCTGAGTTTAAGAGTGTAAACCTGTTCATTGTAGAGAAAAGATGTTGGTGGAAGATGTTGGTAGAAGTTAATTCCATGAATGAAAATAAGATTTGAATGCCAATTACCTCGTTGCTGTATCGCCCATTGTATCCTCCAAAAGAGATGAGATAATCATAACCGTTGTAATTGCTATGCACTAAAGTCATGCCCTAGAAATACAAAATTTCAAACATTAGCAACAACAACAAAGCCTTTAAGTCCCAAACAAGTTGGGGTAGGCTCAAATTTCAAATATTAGCAGCCAAGGAAAATCATCTTAGCCACTGAATGCCGCTCAAGAGATATACCTCACTGGCAAGGGGAACACGTCCTTCCACGGTGCTAACAACTGACCATGTCAGAGTTGACATGTTAAGCACAAGTGTTTCAGAAACACCTGTACAGGCAAGTGTATGAGTTATGCTCAACATAAAAATGCAACGAAAAAGATCATGGGCCACTGTTTGGGTATGTTGAGATTGGGTGGAATCCCAAGACATCCAAACAAGGTCTCCATGGTACAAGCTCTCAGGTGGCAAAATGTACTAGCAACATGTTCACACAAATTGAACTCCACAATGACCACATGGTAGTTATCAGCAAGCATGTTAACATAATAAGTTAAGACATCTTACCACTTTTATTATTGCCACCCCCAACTATGTACCAGTTCTCACCAACAGTTGCACCTGCATGGCCAGCTCTTGGGCTTGGAGTCAGGCCTTGTTGTTTGGGTCTTGACCATTCCATCTGTAATTTCCAACAATAAAATTTAGTAGTCAAAGATAGCACAAAAAACCTTGGAGTTCCAGGAAGGAAAAAGTTTGTACCGTCTGCAAATCAAGGACATGTAGGTCATTGAAACATGTTGCATGAGACCCCCCACCAAAAATTAAAAGATAGCGGTCAGCATGGCAAGCAGCAGCATGATCTGACCTTGGAGAAGGAGGGGTGCCTCTAAAACACAAAACCAACATTGCGATGAGTTAAATTCAAAATATAGTAATACAATGTTCAGCTTAAAAAACAATCACACCGTGATTTCAGAACATGTGCATGAACTCTAATGAGATTATCCCACAATCCATGTATACATGTTACTCCAATAGAGTTCGATCAAATTTTTTACATGGGGAACACACATTACACCTCCGTAATGGAAGTTTAGAAACATTATGCTAGTAAAAGCTAGTTAATACTTCCATCGGTCAGGAATCGATTGAGTCAAACTGCAAAACTCTATAGCATAGTGGTGGAAACTATGTTGAAGAGAAATTAATGAGAAGTGTTAACCTAAGATTTCCTAGTCCTAGATGGTCAGAAAAGCATCTCATTAACCAACGAAAGCCTCTTAACTCTACCATATATGTGTGACAGTTAACATGCATCCCAATTATGTTGGGGACCAGTGTGCCAATCAAATCCAGAAACTTTTGGAAGTCATATTTTAAGCACACATAGCAAAGATACATGAAGCTAACAGCGTTTTTCTTTTTCTTCTCACTAGGTGAACAACTGTGCATTAAGGGCCATCAAGGTTGCTGTACTTACATTGCATCTACATCATCCCATGTCATGGTTTCAAGATCAAGGATGTGCAAGTCATTCAAGAGACACCGTTTTGCATCTTCACCACCAAACAAAACTAGAGTTGTTCCAACAAGAGTCACTGTTTGACCTCCACGAGAAAACTGCAGCAGATGAAACTTATGTAAGCCAATGCACTTTCCTGCATATAACTGGGTAACTAATACCAAAGCAATTGAGCAATGTGGCACAATTTCTTTATTAGTCATTTCAAAATACAGACTCTAAGCTAAAATCAAGTACAGATAAAACTATAGAAGAAACCATCTGAACAAGTGCACCAAAACAAAGATGTACATGCTCAAACATAAGAATAGCGGAACAAAAGAAATCATAACTAGAACTGACCCTGTTGGTTCAGAGTTACAATAACCGATTGAAGAAAAATGATTACCGGTGGTTTCCCGTAAGTCTTGACAACCGACCAGGTACAAGTATGCGGATCAAATTCCTTCACTAGAATGAAACCACCAGAAACACCAGCAGAACAAATTAATGTATGACATAATAAATAGAAAAGGTACCAAAATAGATTAAAACTGATTTTTATCAAACCTGTAATGCCTTCAGATGGGTCTTTTGTATGCCCAGCAATAGATAAAAACTTGTTGCCCCATGAAATCTACAAATTGGTACAGAATAAAAAGGCAACTGTCATTAACTACTGGCTTCAAGATAAATGACTGTACAACAGTTGTGCGGAAGTTTACCAAAGAATGACCAGCACATGGAGCAATTTGTGTGGTTTTAGTGGAATCAGCAGATTCTGCTTGCAATTTGGCATCAACCTTGGACCAGGTCAAACTCTTCAGATCCAAAGCCTATTTTGGTATAAATTATGAAAAAGAAAATTCATTCATTAGATCAACAATACTTAATGCTGACCTGCTTTCAGGTGATATTTGAATTGCCAGTGCATTTAAACGAATTTGTTTTCCCTCCCCTTGAAACTTCTCTTTCTCACTCCTAATATTATCTTAACAATTTTGGTTAAGAAAATGTTACCCTATTAGCTTGATAATTAAAATGCAGGAAATATCCAAAAATATATAGATTTGTTTGCAATATTCTGGGGAAATAGCAGTTATCTCTTTGCATAGTGACAATACTCAGTTTCATAAGAGTCCAATAGCCCAAGTTTGGCATAAGGAAGCACATTGAAGACTCAAATTGTGGCAAGAAACACACTTTGACACCACACCAATATCAGGAAAAGGTCAAGGTTAGGGATCATGAACACAAATGGACGATTAACCCATACAGTGTATGCAATAAGGCAGTCTGTTTAAAGATGGTTTGATCAAAAGCAGTAGAACAGCATATGCTTACAGAGTCACATGCTTCCAAGTCATAGCTAACACTAACAACTTAGGATGCATACATATGGTGTTAGGGATTGTTTTATTCAACTTCACGTACCTGAAGGTCACTAAGGTAACGTCCATTATGGTTTCCACCAAATATATACATCTTATTTTGCAACACAGTTGCTCCATGCTACAGAAACCAAAATTCTCATTAGTACTACAAAAGTAAATAGAGAAAAATGATGGAAGACGAATGAAGTATCTGGTGCACCTCATAACGAGGCTTCGGACGGAGACCACTGACAGATAATGGAGTCCACTCATCATGAGAACTAACAGTACTAAGGCCTTCCAGAATAACATCTTTGTCCTGAGTCTCCACAGAACTTCCATTTTCAGAAATGATTTTTGGTTCTGGAATTGATGTTCCATTTGTTGAAGCCGGTACACTCTGTGGCTCGTCTTTTGGTTTCTAACAAAAAGAAACACAGATGGATAATTTGATAAACCTGCTAAGACAAAAACCTAGAGAACTAGAAATTGGGATGTTGCACTAAATGATAAGACCAATAGTATCAAGTTCTCTAGGTTTTTGTCCACAGAAAAAAGAAGGAAGAATAGCGTGACTTACATGCATCTGAATATCTACAACAGGCTCAGGGTTGAACTCAGGGACCCTAGAGTACCATCCAGGATCTTCTTCCTGCCAGAATACCAATACATCTATCAAATCCATTTGCACAGCCCCAACTTGCTTAGGACTAAAAGTTTTTATTGTTATTGCACACAATATCATGTAATCTTTCATACCTCTAAAATTTTGACAAAAAGACGCATCGCCTCCGCTGAAGGCATGCTTCCAAGCCCATGCCAGCTAAAAACACAAAATGATATAATCGATAAGTATCGTTTTCAGAACACGCACTTCAATGTACAGTATTTTCTGGATATTTCAGCTCTCCAGGCTGACTCTCCATAATCTAAATTACATGAGTATCGTGGTTATTGTAGCATAAGCATCTCATTTTCTAACTTCTGGCTGGGGACGAAATCACATTTCAAATTTGGGCTAATCAATAAAATAAGCCAACAGTACATGAGAATGAACTACTCAACTCTCTGGTGACATGTAGACACAATTCAAGTTTTAAGAGGATCGCTGAGGTTTCACTTTTTCATCATTGATAAAGAAGAAACTGCACATAAGTTGGATTTGTACTGTCACTGTGGCAACGTGAAGTTCGAGTGCAGTTTCCAGTGGTACTAACCTCGTCCATTTGCTCTGCTCCACGGGGTTCCATGCTCTTGGCTTGGGCACATTGCATGGCCCAACCGTGGCCTGCATCAAAACGAAACCCAAAATCACCAACCGAATGATCGTCAACCAAAGCAACTCTCTCCCAGGGATGAAGAAGAGCAACCCAATTTAATCACAAACAACACAAATTCAGCCTATCTCACGCTAGATCCACGCAATTTCACCCCCACGCCCGAATTAATCGCCAAAATGATCAAAACAACGTCCGACGCGTCACCTGCTGGTGCAGGCCGTAGAGGAGGAGGGCGACGTCGTTCTGGAAGCGTGAGATAGCTGCGGAGGATGTGGCCCCGCCGGCTCCGAACCCAGCGTAGGCCGCGGCGGCGTAGAAGCGGTCGGGGTAGGCGAGTCCGGAGCTCGCCATGGCCGGCGCCGCGCCCTAGATCTCCGCCCGGATCTCGCCTGCGCACCGGGCAACCGGCGTGAGACGGCGGGTAGGGTTTACTCCTCCGGACCGCAGCTCTTCTTCGCCGTCGTGTCGGAAATGGAAATCTGCAGGGTGAACTCGCGCCGAGATCTGGAGGGAGGGACCGGGACTCAGGGAGACGGCGAGCCGACGCTGGCTCGTCCCTTCGCGGGCGACGCTTTTAACGCCCCCGCCGAGGAGGAGATTTAACTTTTTACCATTATAATAAATGACACCTCCTTAAATAGCATTTTAATGGATGTCAATACATTTTCGTCAGCCTAGAGTGAAAACAACTACAAATTTACCATTTTTACTTACGTGGTACACCAGCTCCTCGTGGCAGCGTGGATTCAAGTCCGCAGGACGTGTGAAATGTCCCGCCTGCCCTTTTCCTCTCCACCCACGTGGCCGCATTTTTCGCCCCGTGCTCGGGCGGTCATGCAAACTTCATGGCGCCAATGATGATGATTTGCTGCGTCGAGCAGCCAGCACTGCAGCGCGGCACCTCATGCCCGTGGCGGCGGTGCTCCGGATGCGATGGCAGGCAAGCCTTTCCTTGCGCCTCGGGCTTCGCTCAGGCGAGTGCCCGGCTTCATGCCGAGCCCGCGCGGCGGCGACGCGTGCCCTATGGCGGCGCGCCCGCCGGCGGCGGTGCCCGCACTGCCCGACGACGGCGACGACGCGGCGCGCCTGGCTGTGTCCGAGGTCACGGACAGCAACCACCAAGACTCGCCGAGCGCGAGCTCGGTGGAGGAGAGCGCGAGGGAAGCGCGCCATCTCTAAGGATGCGACCATGGATGATGCGCGCGTCGGTGCCGCGCTCGAGCTCGCGAACACGACGGCCGGCTCGCCAGTAGCCGCAGAAGAGGCATTGGACGGACGAAGCCGTCCGAGAGGAAGTTGACGATAACGCTTTAGCGCCTTGACGCGTGGCAAATTTCGTCTATATCGTCGCCTCAGCGATGATGAAGTCGACTATTGCAGCGTAGCTCGCCATCGGATAGCGGCGTGGTAGCGAAGAACTCCCGCATGCCTTGCATGCGCTGCTGAGTCGAAGTGGGATAACAGCGCAGAGGGCGACGCCGCGGTCGAAGTCATGCGGATAGCGTGCACTCTTCGTCGTTCGACGCGCTCGTGGCCGCATCGAGTCGACTCGGAGTGGCCGTCCGGTCTGGTGGAGCAGGGTCGTCGCGGCCGGCCTCACGTGCCGCATCGTCGCACGAGCTGCGCACCGCCGCCCAAGGCCGCGCGGCCCGCTGCCGCCGACCGCGCGGCGCTCGGTCGCTCGTCCGCGCCGCTCCTCGTGCAGCTTCGGGCCGAGCTTTGCTGCGCCCGCGCCAGCGCCGGCGCATGGATTGGCCGTGGCCGCGCCGCCTTCACAGCTGCACCCACACGCGCCGCGCGCGCCGAGCCAATCCGCCCAAGCGCCATAAAGCTTGGACCGCACATGAGCCTTGCCGCCTTGCCCATCCCATGACGCGGGATGGGAGCATCCCCACGAGATGGGAGCAGCAGCAAGCCGAGCACGCGAGCTAGCTAGCCGGACGGGAGTAGGAGCAAGGGGGCGACGGGGAGGCCTCCCCGCGGCCGGTGCCCTTGCTCTGCTCTCGTTGGGAAGGGAGGAAGAAGGAGCTGACAGCAGAGAGGTGAGGTGACGGGCAGCAACCACGCAGCCGCCGGTGGAGGAGAGGGAGGAGCACCGCCGAGAAGCAGCGAGAGAGAGGAGAGAGGAGGAGAGAGAGCAGCCAAGTGTCTTGGTGAGGAGAGAGGGAGCCACGTCGTCGACGACGAAGGAGAGCAGGCGGCGAGAGACATTTGACGCCTCAGACACGACTTCGATCCTGTGGCATGCCAAGGTCAAGGCGTGCCACGTGAGCAAAAATGGTATTTTTTTTTATATGTTTTCCGTTTTTACTGGTGAAAATATAGCGGTAACCGTTGAGATGCTATCTGAGGAGGTGGCAATCTTTATAATGGTAAAAAGTTAAATCTCCCCCGCCGAGGTGGCCGTAGAATGGAAGGGAGACACGGGGGCAGATGCTGACGGGAGCTGCCACGTGTCAGTGACAGGTGGGCCTGAGTGGGGCCCAGTGACATGGTAATGGAGTCGCGCGTGTGTCTCCGGCGGAGTCCGGCCCGGTAGTGGTCGTTTTCTTTGGTCAAGACTCAAGAGGGTATAAAAAATTGTAATTTTTTTGAGCCACAGAAAAAGTTTGACGAACTTCTAATATTTTTTCCTCCTCCATGTCAGGGCCGTCAGATTGGGTTCTAACGGTGTTAAACTGTATGTGTAAAAAGTTAAAAATACCCTTAAATGTAAATATGCCATTAATTTTGTTTTAAGCATCTTAACGATTTTAAATAAAAAAACTCAAAACTAGAGATCTACAATTTTTATATAAAAATATCTTCAATTAATTTTAAAAATATATAATTAAAATAACTTAAAATCATATCTTTTTTTATTAAATGACGATAATTTTTATATAAAAATTATAGATCTCGTCTGATATACAACCTTCTAGTTTTAAGTTTTTTCATTTAAAGTCGTTAAGATATAAAAAAAATAACATATTTAGATCTAAAGATACTAGTACAGTGCCCGTGCTAACGCCACGGCTTAATTTCAGTGATGCACATGAAAACAACCAAACGACAAAATAATATCGTTATTATTAATTTATATAATCTTTTGAAACAATACAAAGTTAAATACCAAAATAAATAATTCACATGTATACATACTAATATCTATTATTTATATTGTCTGAACTTTCACATGTATAAAGCCATCTCAGAGGGGAATTTCATCTCAGATTGGAATTTTTCCCCAAAATTTCAAAACTCTAACATCAGCGGGGATTAGAAAACTCATGGCCCTGTCGCCATCATTACCACCGTCGTTGCCTTGTGTCAGACATACAAACTAAAACAACTAAATTATGAGCCGACAAAACTTAAATTTTTTCAAAGACAAAAAAAAATACCCATGCCTTGCTACATGAAAAAATTTCACAAACCGATAACCTCAAACTTTTTAGCCAACTTTTTCATTCCAATTCTTTCCTTTTTCAACAATTACATTGCAACTCCACTAAAACTTTGTAGCCAATTACATTGCCAAGCCCCTGACGATCTGCGGCGCCGCATCTTCCTCGCTCCAGGTGGCATCTAGAAAAAATAAATTATAAAACTATTCATAAAACTAAGCAATAAATCAACGGATGAAAGAAACATAAATTCACAAACTAATGAAATAAGACCATGCAGTATTGTGCTACCTCTCGTGAAGACAAGCAATGAGTAAAACGAATCATCATTGGGAATCCATTCCTTCCGATCCTCATTTTTGTCTATCCTGGGTTGTTTGACCTCAGAAGCAGTATACATGATTTAAGTATGTTTGGGTCCTTCCATGGTCCCTTTCAGCCTTAAGACAACCTCCGTATTTAGGACAGATACAAGTGCCATCAAGAAATACTGGCAATTCCCTGAGATTTTTTTACAAATAAAACAATAATCATAAGCATCCATTATTTTAGGATTTGTTTTCTTAATTACGTAGCATCATAAACATTTGGTATTCAGATTAACACAATATTCCAAGCAAGCAAGAAAAAACAGCAACATATCAAATTCGCGTGCAGTTATCATTGTCAATTTTCTGTAGTCGGTGAATTAATTCGCGTGCAGTTTTGCTGAAATTTTTCAACCCCTATAAGGCATACATATCAAATTAGCTCTCATCAACTAAAAGTTTCATGAAGAGAAGCATCATGAAAGACTAAATCTTCAGTGACATACCACGCCCTGGACATCCAGAATTGTCGTATTGGAATCAATGTGCCTTTTTGCAGCAAGAGAGCAAGCTGGAAATTTAGTCAAGAAGCTCCTACTCCCTCCTCTACTGAAGCATATTAATATACAACCTCCAGCTCCTCTGAAGCTTATCATGCTAGCTAGTGAAGTGACAACACGACAACCTCCCAACAAAGTGATTATTTGCAGCAATGAATTCAAGCATCCAGCTAAGGTTCCCGACTACATGGTTGTGTGTTTACAACCTTACTGCTAGCAGAAAAACTCAGGCCTCCAACTCTTCCAACTTGTATAATAGTTTCATTCTTTTTTCCCATTTTCTGCAAACTATATCAAAGTTCAGTAGTGGCAATATATCAAAGTTCAATAGTGGGGGTAAGTGTCCCAGGTACTGTGAGAAGACGGTGTGCAGACTCTGATTGAATAGCAAAAACAAACTCAACTGGATTGGCCTTCCATCCTGCACAATACATAACAATACATACAATAGAAACTGCGAATGTTTCATAAGTTAATTTCTCCTGCCAAAGCAACAAAAATTCGGTCCACATCTTTAATTTTCAATATCATGTTTAAGTAGTAATACAACCTGATTTTAGTCAAGAGAAGCTGAACTAACCTATTAGAAACACCGCACAGATGAAATCGCAGTATATATTATATTTTTAAATCCTATTTCTGATAGGGGAAGGGAGAGTACGAACCACGGAACCAGTGCAATGCCCGCGGCGAGTGGCTCCCAACCCATGAGCCGCTGCCAATGCGCTGCAGCGATGGCGGCGACCATCTCAAGGCCACACGCACTTGACCAATCTGCATCCACTGCGGCACCACCACGCACGCGCGGCTCGTCCGAGTGGGCGCAGCCCGACGAGGTTCTCTCGGCTTGGTGTCGGCGGCGGCTGATGCATGAAACCTCCACCCGCCGCCTCTCCGCCCACGGTGACCGCATCGAGTCGAGCATTGCCCTGTCAAAGGCGTGGAAGGACTTGACGGCTGCCGCAAAGACGGTGAGGAGAAGTGGGTGGCGTTGAGGCCGAGAGGTGGAGGTCGTCTAGGGCCGCCATGGTGCGTCCCAGTGGACGCCAGCGCTCCTCCGAGCCCAGCGCGAGGCGCTAGGGCTCGTCGGCGGCCAAATCGTCAATCGCGGTAGCAATGGAAGGGCGATGGTGGGGCCGCTTGCGTCGGGCGCATGCGAGCAGGGAGTGGTGAAGTGGGGAGATCGGGGTGGGTGATCCAAAGAATATCGGCCGTCGGATGTGGTTGAGTAAGGAGAGAGAATGAATTTGAGTTAATTTGGTGCGTACGTTTTTAATGTCATTTTTTTCTGTGTGTATTTTATGGGGTGGATGTAGTTTAGATCGTGATTGTAGAGGTGGAATTTGTTTGGTGGTCGTAGAATAATTTAAAGTGGTGTATTATAGGGGTAAGATTTTTGACTTTTTACACGGAGCCTAATTTGATGGCGGTGAGGGGAAAAAAATATAGCAATAGCGCTCCGGAATTGCGATGTTTTTTAATTGCAGTAAATTCTCTCTTTGGGCAAGGCCGTGGCCGTGGGTGTTTCCGTCCTCCTGCTCTGACTTCCCTGCTTCGTCCGATCCCCTCCCCCACCTGCCAGACTCCCCGCCGTCCGTGCACCGCTCGCCGCCCCCGGCCGCCCATCCAGTCGTCGCCTCGTCGGTGCAGCCGTGCAGCACCCATCCTCCCGGTTGGAGCCGTGTCCAGTTCCTTTGCGAAACGAGGCGCGTATACTGGGAGCTGGAGCGAGGAGAGGAGACGAGGGAAAGGATGCAGCAGCTGCAACCGAAGCAGATGCACTGGGTGAGGGCCGACTCCTTCGACTTCGGGGGCGACCGCCCCGCCCCCCGCAGGTATCCATCCAGCACCTCCTCCTCGCCGCCGCCGTCTCGATTCCCCCCCTGGAGTCTCACCCTACCCCTCTAACAACCTCACGATTTTGCGATTTCGTGCAGCGGGCACACTGCGGTGAGCATTGGCAAGTCCAAGGTGGTCGTCTTCGGCGGTTTCGCCGACAAGCGCTTCCTCGCTGACGTATCCGTCTACGACGTCGGTAATCGAATCCCTCTCCAATTCTCCGACCGTTCGCTTGTTGTGCCAATTTGCCTGCCCCACCTCTGTGGGCAATTTTGCACACGCTGCAACTCATCTTAAGGGTTATTAGATTGAGCGACGTAGATTGCATTTACATGCTTGCGATTTTTATGGATGGAGCATGTGCATTGGAAGGAAGGAAGAGCTTGGCCTTACAAACTTCTGAATGCAATTTATGTTGCAGAGAATAAGCTATGGTACACACCTGAGTGCACTGGTAATGGGTCGGATGGGCAGGCCGGCCCAAGCCCAAGGGCTTTTCACATAGCTGTTGTCATTGACTGCAACATGTTCATCATCGGTGGCCGTTCTGGGGGCAAGCGGTATGCAGTCCACATAGCTTGCCCAGCAGAATTTGGAAGCTTAGCATAAATAATTTCCTATATGTTACTAACGATGTGGTCTTTATCTTACAGTTTAGGTGATTTCTGGATGCTAGACACCGGTAAGCCTCTATGTTTCATCAATTGTCAAGATCCCCTTCTCTGGTTCTGTCTGCACTTATTCTAGAGGTTGCTGCTACATTCATGATACTGTTGTACATTTAGATTTATGGCAATGGTCGGAAATGACTGGCTTTGGTGATTTGCCGTCACCACGAGAGTTTGCTGCTGCTTCAGCCATAGGAAACAGAAAGATTGTTATGTAAGCATTATTTGATTTGCACACCCCTGTCATACTTTCTGTACCATTACTTTTGAAGAACATTCTATTTTTATTCAGGTATGGTGGATGGGATGGCAAAAAGTGGCTTTCAGATGTATACATCATGGACACAAGTAGCAAACTGCTTCTTTATCCAATCACTGAATTTTTTCTTGAAGATGGCAAGGAAAACGTAGAGCGCTGATTTCTTGCATTCTCTATTGTATAGTGTCACTTGAGTGGACAGAATTAGCTGTTACTGGATCTGTGCCACCTCCAAGATGTGGGCATTCCGCAACCATGATTGAGAAGAGGCTGCTTATATTTGGTGGCAGAGGTGTTTGTTATTTCTTGATTTTATTTGTGGGTTCCTCAAAGAATGTGTTTTATGATTCATTTTGTGAAAGTAAATTTTGTTGATCATTTTAATTTTTTTTTGGAAATCTAAAAGCACTAACTAATTATTTTCATGACAATTGTCTTGTGGAAACCAAGCTATTTTCCTTATGAGAATATGTAGTGTGAATTACTTTCTAATGACTAGTCAGTTAATTTGTAATCTTTTGGCCATCAACACCCGCATTTCCAATTACTTCAAATCTTCTTTGCCACAGGTGGAGCAGGGCCAATAATGGGTGATTTATGGGCTTTAAAGGGTATTACTGAAGAAGGTATCTCCTATTTTTTCATATAAAATCTGTTTGAGTTTAAGAAAGATGCATCCTAAGCCCCATAGTGTTATGTGCAACATATGCTTGGTCAGTTGATAATGGCGCCAGTCGAACTAACAGTGCACGTTGAAATAGCCTGTTTGAATGATTGTGGATCATGAATTCATTATTAGATGTGGTTTGACGCCTTCTTTTTTAAAAAAAATATCGTAATACTTAGGAACAAATCCATGGTGCATACCCTGCATCTTTCTTGTCCTGTTTGATTGTTCATGCCTTATTGGAAGTCATGTAGTTTAAGATGGCCCATCAGTATTATTTAACCTCTGAGGACAGCTAAAATCACCCATTCTATTTGATATATGTTAATACTAGTTGAAAAGTATTATTGTCAACTTTCTTCTGATTTAACTATCTAATCATTCATTTGTATTTTAGTTCAGTTAGTCAGAACCTAATTTTGTCTACTTTGGAAGACAATGATACGCCAGGTTGGACACAGTTGAAACTTCCAGGGCAATCTCCCTCACCACGATGCGGTCATTCAATAACTTCTGGTGGACCTTATGTATGTAATTTGATCCCGCCATACTTGCATTTCCTTTTTTGGTCTCTCAGTGCACTAGTATGAAGTATTCAGTAGCTGGTATTTCATATAACATAGTATTTGTAAACTTGGGCCCCGTTGGATGTCCATACTAGATATTAACTAATTATCATTGCTATATTGTACAAATCATATGTGCCATTGATGTATATTTAGAACTCATTTATGCATTTTGATCTACTATGGACCAGTAGGAACTTTGTTTGAGTCCTAACCCTCTTTCTGATGAGGCCAGGGGTCTATTTCCTGCTATGATTAAATATTAATGCAATAACAGATAGGCTCCTGGGTATGCCTTCGATGACTATGCTAAAAATATTTGTATTCTGCAGAGTTTCATCCTTAGTTTTAAGATCTGAGGTATCAGTATGTGCAACACATCATTTATTAACTAAGGTTGGTGATGGAAGTAAATTTTAGGCACAGCTTTAGCAGAGTTTCTTTGTCATTAACTACATAAATGAAAGGGTGTAATTATTTATTTAAAAAATAATTGTGTTTATTGTGTACTGGGAGTCTTTGCAACCTCAAATTGTTCACGCTTCAGGTCTTGAGTTAATCAGCTAGATTATGTTGGACTTCTTCTAAAATTTTTCCATGTAAAGGGTCTTGATTGCATGATCGGTTAACTGAAGATGTATAGATCTTTCTTGTCAGCTCTTGCTGTTTGGAGGACATGGAACTGGTGGTTGGCTAAGTAGATATGATGTGTACTACAATGAATGCACTATTTTAGACAGGGGTAAGATGTGATTGTAATTCCCTTTTTTTATTTGCATAGGGATTTACTGAACTGGAACGTGTGTCTTTCTTGTGGGTGTAACACTGCATCTTTTAAAAGTTTTTTGTTTAAGTCCAACAGTTTTTATTTCTTCAGTACAAAAAATGTTTCCCTGCTAACATAAGATGTGGTTCCACAAGTAAACTTGTATGACTAACCTTAAGAAGGAAATTGTGATGCTGGCTGATTCGGTGCTGCTTGGGGCATGTTGTAGTTGCTTTACACTGAGTTGTGCAATATAATTAGTTGATAGAGTCTTTAGTGAACCAGTAAGATTCTTCCAAAAGTAACTGCTATATCCTATAAATGTAATCGCTTTTGAAAAGCCATGTCAGGCCTATGCAAACCCATTTTTCTCGTGATTAAGATAATGTAGTGTCAGCTATGGATCACATACTAACATCAATCAAGAACACTACCAAAGTTACTGTGGTTAGGGTCTTAGCTTAATGCATCTTAAGTAAGTTTGATTACATCCTAACACTAACCAAGAAGACTAGAAAAGCTAGTCCTGTAGATATGGCTTAAGCAGTCATCATTGATCAAGATATAAAATCAATGTCAGATAAGTCTCTGCATTCATTGCTTGGGTTATTTTTGTAGGTAGTTGGAAGGTGTTAAATATGATTGTCAGCCACATCCATTATAACCAGCGTTGGAATTAGTTGATGATGCAGCTAGTAGGTGTTGATATTATACTTGCTGCACATAATATAGCCTCAGAAAGCCAATCTTGTAACTCCGACTGATCTTACCACTGTCAACTCAATGGCGACTAACTAGGTTATCGTGGATATACTGAACACAATGCTGACAGCTAGTACCATCTCCATGATTCATTGCTTTGTTTTAATGCTGACCTACCTTTCATGCCACTTGCTCAATCAGCACATGTATCTTTGTTGGCTGATACTTCAATCCTTCTCAGTGTCTGTTCAATGGAAGCGCCTACCAACAAGCAATGAACCACCTCCTCCTCGGGCATATCATTCCATGACTTCCATAGGGTCTCGATTTCTTTTATTTGGTGGCTTTGATGGAAAGAATACATTTGGTGATTTGTGGTGGCTTGTTCCTGAAGGTACAGTCTTCTCATGCTTATCTGAAAAGGAACACTTCATTCCTATATGCTTGGTATCTTGAGGGCTGTGTAGAGTGTACTGGGATATAAAACTCTGCACATAAATTCTTCAATTCATAGTCCTGCAGTCATACCCTTTAAACTTCCATGCATGGTTCAGTAGTGACAAGTGAGGAGTTTTGTCGATTTCCAAGACCACAAGAAAAAGGAACTCATTTGACTAATTGCTTCTATAATTTGCTGCTTAACTGGATGTATATTAGGAAGGGCGGGCCTGGTGCAAGTGGTAGAGTCTTACCGCCTGTGACCGGAAGGTCCCGGGTTTGAGTTGCGGTCTCCTCGCATTGCACAGGCGAGGGTAAGGCTTGCCACTGACACGCCCAGACCCCGCACAGAGCGGGAGCTCTCTGCACTGGGTACGCCCTTTTAACTGGATGTATATTAGGAAACTGTACCACTTATGATGCAGGTTCATTTACCAAATAGTTTGAAATGGTTTTTTTTTTAAGTAAACTTTCCCCTAATGCTCTTGATTTTTTTTCTCTTTCTCTGTGATGCTTGACGAAGAAAGATCATTTTTCCTTTTTTAAATTGCACCGTATTTTATGTACAGATGATCCTATTGCGAAACGAGACTTAGCTCCTAACATCGATTCAAACAGCAAACCTAGCGCTGTGACTGGTGATAACCAGCAATCCAACCTAAAGGTACATGCTTGCATGTGTGAGAGTTCACTTTGAAAATTTCAGGTGATAGAAAATTCTATAATTTCTAAAATATGTTTTGCAGGAGTCACAAGCTCTGGAGAATCCAATAACAGAATTGGCCAAACGACTGGGAATTCCACTTTCTGAGGATGTTTCAGCAAGTTTTGTTGACGAAGTCAATGATAAAGAACTTGTGGAATTGTCATCTAGGCTTGCTGGTCAATCGCTTCCAGCTAGTGACCAGGTTGCATCAATTCAGGTGCTTACACAGTAATGCCTCACTATTAATATAACTCACCTGTATTTGCTTCTGAGAGAATTTTGGAATTTTTGTATGATGTCAAGGTACTTCGTGATCATTGGAAAAGTTCTCCAGCAAGCTCACTACAACTGCAGGAACTAGGACCTTTGCTGAGGGACTATCAACGCCTCATCCTGCGACGCTATTCGTATGGTTTCACTCTTCAGTCTTCCCTCTGCATCTGTTATTTGCATACTTAATCATCCACTCTTTCTCAAATCTAGAAGTCGCCTGTTAGAAATTGAATGATTTGTAACAGTTTCTCTTCTGGTCCATGGATTATTCTCTTTTGCAATGGCCTCAATTGCTCGAAATGAATGCATATTTGATGTTTCGGAGGAATAGGAGTAATTGTGAATTTTTACACTACAAAATCTTGTGAGTTTGTCATGTCAATTATACTTTATCATGGCCATGGAACTTACATATCCATGGTTTTGGCCTGTTTGATATCAATAGGCACAGGACAATTCAAAAATAAACTGTGGTATCTTCTGTCAGGTTCTTTGTGGTCGTTAGTTAGAAATTGAGCATGTGCAGATAACTTGGTCATGGCCAGAGGTTGATATGTCTAAAAATGATCATTCTTCATTATCCAATCATCAACTTCTCCATTAAAGCAAAGTATTTGTAAGCAATATTTCTGCGTCGATCGTGATTTCATTTTCTTTTTGCAACAAGTGCAGGGGAAATCCATTGCCAGCTTTTCATGAAATGGAAGCTCTCCGTTTTTTCCATTTGAAAAGTGCTTCACAGGTATGCATAGTAGTGCATACAATCTAGTGATCCACCACAAACGACCAGCAGTCGATTGAGTACACAATACAATCTCTTCTTTTTCATTCTCCTACTTATCAGTTATCGCTATGTTGTATCTGTGATATACCGCAGTTGCGCATGGATGACATTCCCGTCTTGTTGAGCGAGTATGGAAGGCTGCTTTCCACATGAGATGGCATCTTGTAAGTTGTGCCCTTTTGCTTGGTAGGTGCTTTTGAACATAACCGTTGTGTTAGACTGTTAGGACATCATTTTCCGTTTGCAGTGCCAAACTGTTTCAGCTTTTGGTCTCACATCAACTTTACTCTTTGCTTCATGCAATTTGTGGAGAACTTGCGTGCCTGACAAAAGCACACCCGTGGAGCCATTCCTTGCCATCAGTTAGTCTGTTAGTGCAAGTCATAGTCGGCATCAGTGATAGCGCACTGAACTGAATTCCTTTTTCTTTCGAGGACGAGGACTGGGACGCGCACATATTTCGTGCAGCCTGGCTGGGCGCTGAATGGTCGTCAACACGTGGTTAGGCCTAGGCGAGGAGCTGAGGCGGCGTGGCAAGCCGCCCATGTCGCGTGGAATTCCAAGAAAACGGGGTTTGTGTGAAGCTGGAGTGTGGAGTCTGGAGGTCAGCTGCACATGTTTTCAGTTTTCATTCTCCTGCGCTCCATCTGACCAAAAGGACGCTGCATTGCATGTTACTATACTACCTTTGTTTAAAAATAATGCACATCTCGCTCTTCAGATGTCAATCAATTTCAACTTTAATTAGATTTATAAAAAAGTATGGTATCGCTAAAATAGTTTTATTATAAATATATATATATATATATATTGTATGATTAATCTAATGATATTTTTAGTATCATAATAAATATTAATACTTCTTTGTATATATTTGATCACATTTAAGATTAGTTGACTTTTAAAAGAAAACGAGATGCATATATTTTTTTAATAAAGAAAGAAAGAAACGAAGGGCGGCCACTGGCCGCTCCTGCTCAGCAAATACAAGTAGAGCCGCCGGTCGCACATTTAAACGCATGTGCTCGTAGCCTTTGTCCTTGGCGTGTACAGAAAAAACGGCGGAAAACGCCGTCTTAAGCTTTCCAAACGACACTACTGGACTTTCGTACAAGAACAGCTAGATTCATGCAAGAATCCCGTAAGAAAGCAAGCATCATAGGGTGTCGCACGATCACGCGTTCCGGCTCTCCCCGTGCGTGCCTGGCATTTCTTATGCCTTTGGTAACATAATAAAAATTCAGTTGAACTACCATAAATTACGTTCTTCCTAATATAGGTGGTGAAAATAAATTCAGTTGAACTAGCTCGGCCGGACCACGGACACGGAGTACTGTTTTGCAGGTGACGGTTCGTCAGGCCCAAGTGAGCGTGGCCCAGTCCTCCCTGGCCCTGTCCCAGGCCCAAGTGGAGCCGGAGTCCGTCCGGGCAGTTCCAGAACCTTCCTCCTCCTCCTCAGGGTCAGATGGGATCGTGAGTCGCGAGCCGAAACTGGAAACCACCACCAACCCCACCCGGCGGCGGCAGCCGGGCGGGGCACGCACCCGGAATTTCCATTCCACTCCACCCGAGCCCGACCGCGCCGCGCAGCCTGCCACCCAGCGGAGCGGCTCCCATTAAAAACGAGGGCCTGGCCGCCGCCTCAGCCGCCCACTCCCACGACGCCTCTCCTCTCCTCTCCTCCTCCTCTCTCCCCAGTCTCCACGCCGCGAGGGTGACGGAAAGCGACGCAGCGCGAGCGCGAGCGAGGGAGGCACCGCACCACGACCCTCGCTAGCCGCCGTCTCCGATCTCCGCGAGGTACCTGCCTCTACCTCCTCGCTCGGTTAATGGGATCTCGCGTTCTGTTCTCCAACTTTTGGGTTTCGTTAATTCCTAAGAAGAAGAAAAATTACTGCTACGGGGGGCTGTTCCGCGGGTCGCTTGAACCGCATCAGATTTCGGTTATTTCCGCATGTAATTCCTTCGCATCTTGAGAAGAAAGTAGATACTAGAGAACTTTGAGACTTTCTATCCTGGGGTGGATTTGGGGGTTTATGGGAGGGGGCCGTTAAGGGGCTGTGCATGTCCAGTGAACCTCTCCTGGTTTGGCAGTACTTGTCCGGGGAACTTTTTTTTTACAATAAATCATCGAGCGGATTGTTCTGTGAAGTTTCGTCAGAAGAAATAAATTTAAAATAACCGATGTGTGGTTTACTGATTCCCCTGGAGCTTCAAGTGAAGGGCGGGGAGCATTAGCGATGCCTGCCTTTTTCATACCGCTCCGTAGATCAACCTACCCCTTCTCATGGAGGGGATGGATTGCATGTGCCCATTCTCCTCCTTGGTAGCGATACCACTGGGATACATCAGCAGGTGCCTGTTTGTGTGTCTATGTGTTAGTAGTATTATTACTTATGCATGTTGAACAAAGGGAAGAGTCGGCTTATGACGTGTTTGAGATTTTTTACCAGGAGATGGATTTGGTATTTATGGGTGCACGTTAATCTGTGCGCGTGTTCAGTGAACCTCTGGTAGTTCTTGTCCAGGATGATTTTTACAATAAATCATCTATTGGATTGTTCTGTGAAATTTGGCAGAAATAAATTAAAAGAACCTATGTGTGGCTTACTGATTTTCATGGAGCTTCAAGTGAAAGGGCGGGGAGCACTAGCAATGCCTGCCTTTTTCATTCCGCTCCGCAGATTAAAGTTACCCCTTCTCATGGAGGGATGGATGGCATGTGCCCATTCTCCTCCTTGGTAAAGATACCATTGGGATATATCAGTATCCCCTGTGTGTGTCCATGAATTGTGTTAGTAGTATTACCTGTGTATAGTGAAACAAAGGGAGCCGGGTTATGAGGTGTTGACATTTTTTACCAAGAGCTAGATTTGGGATTTATGGGAGCCTTTCAATGAACCTCTTCTACTTTTGTACTTCTTGCCCAGGGAATTTTTACAATAAATCATCAAGCAAATTGTTCTATAAAGTTCCACAAAAATATAAAATAAAAAGAACCTATGTGTGGTTTACTGATTTCCCTGGAGCTTCAAGTGAAGGGCATGGAGCATTAGCTATGCCTGCCTTTTTCATACCGCTCCACAGATTAACCCTGCCCCTTTAAATGGAGGGAATGGATGGCATGTGCCCGTTCTCCTCCTTGGTAAAGATACCATTGGGATACATCAGCAGCCCCTGTGTGCCTCTATGAACTGGATTAGTAGTATTACTATGTGTAGTGAACAAAGGGATTGGCTTATGAAGCATGGCAGAGGAAGCATGACTTTATCTCATATCTTTGTGTGGATAATTAAACAGAAATTGGTCGTTGCTCTGTAAATCTAGGTAATTTTCGTGTCAATGTCTGAAATTTGTTTAAAAAATGGTATTTTGGTTCTGATTATCTGGATTCAAGCATGGCCCTGTGTGACTTTCAGTGTCGATGATTTGTTACACCGCTGCAAGCTTTTCCTGTTAGTGTCTGGCAAGATACTTTTTTTATATGTAGATGCCTGAGAATAGCTTCCTGGTCTCAATTGTTGCTTTGTGTTTGATAAGGAAAGTGTGCGATAGTTCCGTAGTTGCTAAGTTAGGCCAAGGTGGCTTTGTTAACTGACTATGTTCCTCCCCTTGAATTTGAAGGCTGCCAGGTTTCAAGATGTCGACCAGCACATTTGCTACTTCCTGCACGCTGTTGGGCAATGTTAGAACACAGGCCTCCCAAACAGCGGTGAAGAGCCCTTCATCTCTAAGCTTCTTCAGCCAAGTTATGAAGGTTCCAAGCCTGAAGACCTCCAAGAAACTCGATGTCTCTGCTATGGCTGTCTACAAGGTGAAGCTTGTCACGCCTGAAGGTCAAGAGCACGAGTTTGATGCTCCAGACGACACATACATCCTTGATGCGGCCGAGACTGCCGGTGTGGAGTTGCCATACTCATGCCGTGCTGGGGCTTGCTCCACCTGTGCTGGCAAAATCGAGTCTGGTGCGGTTGACCAGTCGGATGGATCCTTCCTTGATGACGGGCAGCAGGAGGAGGGCTATGTGCTGACATGTGTCTCCTACCCAAAGTCCGACTGCGTCATCCACACCCACAAGGAAGGTGACCTGTACTAGGGCTAGGGCTTTTCAATTTGGCAAGGGACCAATTGCTCTCAAGTGTGTTGTCAAGCAAGCTCCATCTGCCCAACCAGTTGTGCGAACTGTTTGGCATCAAACTTTTGTGGTTGCTGTCTTCTATGTTCTGCTAGTTTATGTTCGGGGTTGGTGCATTAAGATTGGGAACCCATGGGAATACTAGCAAATCAATAAAAAACTGATGTGATGCCATAATAGTATAATTTAATGGCCTTTTGTTATGTTTGGAAAAGTGTTGATGTTATTGATTCTGAATATCACTGCGGCATGCTGGCACCCGTTTAGTTCCAAACACTTGTGTCGTGTGATACCTGTTTGCCAAATTGTAGTGTGTTGTTGCTTGGTCCGGATGCACGCGCAACTGCGTATGGATGAGAACAAAAATGCATGACATGCTGAACCACAACGACCGAAATTCAGTTTTGCGTGAAGACATGCTTTCTGTGCCAAGAATCTTGAATTTCTCATTGATCGGGGGATGCTGAAGGCAACAGCTCGCTCGTGTCATCTCTGATAGCGAATGCTTTGGTAGGTGGCTGATAGCAGTGGCAGATTTGAACTGGTGGATTGCTTGCGTTTGGCTCTTGTCCTGTCTAGCCCAGTTGAGGAGGACTTGAGGGCTCCTGTTGTCCTGCCTTGGAGTTGCACTAATGACGACAATTCACATACCTAATTTTCCTTAACTAACTCTCAAATTTGATTCATTTCATGCGCCGTTATATTTTCCCAGATTTGATTCATTTTCTGTGCCGTTATATTTGAAGATATCGGCCTGTTAAGAAAAAACAAGTATACGGCCAGAGAAAAAAGCGTTGTTCGGCTAAAATAATAAGCTAAAAAGTTTAGAGAGAACATAAAATACGTAGGTAACTTTTAAGAGAACATAAAAACTGAACTTAATATCGAGTCTTTTAGAGAAAAATAGGAAAAAAAAGAAGTCGAACCGAATATATAGGGTAAACAAATATCCAGTAGTTTGCCCATAGGGAAAACGACCAAATAGCCAATATTGATAGGTACATAGGTAATGTTACGCACAGATGACAGAACAGCTGTAGCCAAAACCAATACATTGCTCGCAAACTAGTATCGACATATCACTGGAAGCAGCACCATCTGGATCACTAAAGCAGGGCATCTGAAAGGCAAATGCTTAGTTGGATGTACTCTTTCCCTCATGCAATCATGCTCGCAGAAACTATATGTACTTCACACAGACACTCAATAATGCAGATCTCAACAGCTTGACACACTCCGAAAGGCGCGGCTGAAAGCTCAGAAGCATTTTCGGTGGACGATAGCAGGGCCAGATTCATCATACTCTTCCTTGGATATCCACATCTGCAACAGGAAAATGATTGGAGTAAGAAGCAAATACTGTGAGAAACAATACTTCAAAATTGAACGGAAATTAGTTCGTATTCATAACTATGGCGACAATCAAAATCACTGGAACATTGCCATTCACAATTTACTGATTTAGATCTCTTCACATGCACTTGTCAATTTGGTTGATTGTTGGTTTCACTTAAAAAAGGAAGATGATCAAAAGGCACCTAAGAAACCATCTCCATGATAAGATCATAAATGCTATGACAGCAAGGAAAGGGCCATGTTAGTAAGTACCTGCTGGAATGTGCTGAGCGAGGCAAGGATTGAACCACCAATCCAAACACTGTATTTTCTCTCTGGAGGCGCCACTACCTTGATTTTCATACTGCTCGGTGCAAGGGCAGTAATCTCCTTGCTCATCCTGTCAGCAATGCCAGGGAACATGGTTGTTCCTCCACTGAGAACGATGTTGCCATACAGATCCTTCCTGATATCAACATCACATTTCATGATAGAGTTGTAGGTGGTCTCATGGATGCCAGGAGCTTCCATCCCAATCAGCGACGGCTGGAAAAGCACTTCTGGGCATCTGAACCTTTCTGCACCAATTGTGATGACCTGCCCATCAGGCAACTCGTAGCTCTTCTCGACAGAGGAGCTGCTCTTAGCAGTCTCGAGCTCCTGCTCGTAATCAAGGGCAACAAAGGCCAGCTTCTCCTTTATATCTCTTACAATTTCCCGTTCTGCTGTTGTAGTGAAGGAATAACCCCTTTCTGTGAGGATCTTCATTAGGCAGTCAGTCAGATCACGACCAGCAAGATCCAACCTAAGAATAGCATGAGGCAGCGCGTATCCCTCATAGATTGGCACAGTGTGGGTCACACCATCACCAGAATCAAGCACAATACCTGCACAAGAGTACAAGACATAGGTAGTAGAATGGGGTCAGATCGCCAATGACGAGAATCAAAGATGAAGTCCTAGAAAAACTCATCAGTTAAAGGTGAAAATGAACACGTGCCTGTTGTGCGACCACTGGCATATAGGGAAAGAACAGCTTGGATAGCAACATACATTGCTGGTGCATTGAATGTCTCAAACATAATTTGGGTCATCTTCTCTCTGTTTGCCTTTGGGTTTAGTGGTGCTTCTGTCAGCAGAACTGGATGCTCTTCAGGAGCAACACGCAGTTCATTGTAGAAGGTGTGGTGCCAGATTTTCTCCATATCATCCCAGTTGTTCACAATACCATGCTCAATGGGGTACTTCAAGGTCAAGATACCTCTTTTTGACTGTGCCTCATCACCAACATAGGCATCCTTTTGGCCCATTCCAACCATCACACCCGTGTGGCGAGGGCGGCCAACTATACTAGGGAACACTGCTCTGGGCGCATCATCGCCAGCAAAGCCAGCCTGCAGAGAGGAGAAACATAGGCTGGTCATTCTGCAACAACTCCTTTTACAGGTTTCAGAGATTAATGAATGAACAGATAGAATGAGCATCGAACCTTGACCATTCCAGTGCCATTGTCACACACAAGTGGCTGGATATCCTCACCGTCAGCCATTGATCTGCACAGACAATCTGAATTCAGAGACCATCTCAAATATTCACTTGTGAAAGCACAAAATTTTGGACCTAGTTCATGCTAGATGGCTTGGAAATTTAAGTTAAGATTGATAAGGGAAAGACCATATAATTTTCCAGTACATGATGATAATTAAGAGCAATTTGTGATAGCCAAGTAAAAGGAATGCAAGATGGTATTTAGCAGGCCTTAGGTCAAGTTGCAGCAAGATTATTACCATTAATGAATCTTTGAACAAGGACCAGCTGGTAAAGTGGATTAATTATGCTCAGGATACTAAAGAGAGCTATATATGCTGGCATAAGCTGTCCTGTCAGGCAGAGACATGGTCACTTGCTCACCCATGTGCTACTGAGCCTAACAAAAATGAATAAAACTACAGCTGTACTGGATCAGAATTATTGCTGTTGCTGCACATCCAGCCTATAGCTGGATAATTCATTTAGCCGTAGACGACGGGAGTCTAAAGTCCGTGTGCCAGCAAGAAGTCAGTAGTGGCGCCCATCATTCCGATTCCAGCTAGCAAAAAGTTATCAACTTGGATTGTTTATGCCAAAATGAAAGGGGAAAAACAATAGCAAGGCTGTTTGACAGATTGAGCTGTTTAGACCAAGATAACCTGACAAAGATTCAGGTCAGGGTCAGCAGTATTTGACATGAAGATACATATTTTTATTAGTTAGGATTAGGAAAAGCTAAGTAAGGTTTGCCCAATAAAAGCTCTGTAAAAACCCAGTTAGGCCGCCAAGAAGATCACAAGTATGAAGCACTGGGTGGGATCTGAACCAACCCGGCCTCAAGATTTACAGAAACTATTGTAGGCTAACGGCCATCCACACGATTAGCAAAAACATCCAACTGAAAACATTTAAGTCAATTCATTTCCCACGAGTATCCTCCAAGTAACCGACTTGGCACACCAAAACCAGCACCATGATATGAGATCTAGGAGCATGCACCTCCACCGCATATCAAATCCATTTCTGTTCCCGAGGATCCGGGTATGACACATGAAATTGTACTACCTTTTTCCCTCTTAATCGAAGGGGTGGAAAACACTAGCTAACACGTACTGCTTATTACAGGATCCGATCAAGCAAGCAAGATCACTGCTGCATATTCGGACATATACTGCATAAACTCTTCAAGAATTGTAGTTGCGCTGGCGCTAATAACGAAGACGGATCCATATACAGATGCAATCGCACGCTAGGACTGAGAAGAAACCAACTCTAATCTAATCTAAGACTAAGAGCAAAGGCACCTCTCAGGGCATGGTAGGATCGCTTACCAACAGAAGGATGGAACCGAACCAGACAACCAGTCGACGCACAAATCGACAGCACTTAGAGAGGAGCAGCGACTGTGGACGGCAGGAGCGAGCAGAGGTGCGGTCGGTCGGTGGTGGATCCCGACGGGGAGAGCCGGAGAGGAGACGAGGAGGGCGCTGCGGTGAGGTGTGCGGTGTGCCTGCTCTGCTCTGGAAGGGGAGAACGCCAGAACGGCGTCCGTTTCATTTATATGCGCGGCGACAGTTAGCAGAAATTAGGCACGGGGGGCAATGCCAAAATTCAGGCGAAAACCATCCAATTTGACCGCCGTTTTTGGCTTCAATAACTGCTTTCAAACAAATTTAGGCCGAATTTTCTACTCGTGTGGCCGTGTGGGCAAGATATAAGTTCCTGCTGTAGATTTGTGAAGCAAACACCTCACAAGGCCTTTTTTCCATTATTATTCTACGTTCGCATCACGGACTTTGACACTTTGTTAACAGGCTGATCACCACGATTTTACCCCTGTGTACGAGTTACCTTGCGTGATCTCCTTTCCTGTGTACGAGTTACCTTGCCGTCCTTGCGTGATTTCTTTTTTCGCTAGGGGGTGCTCGTCCACCTCACACTCTTCCTCTCCCTCTTTCCCTCTTCTCTAGGAGCTCTTTTTTAGGTTTTTCGCTAGTAGATAGGATTCGAGGCCTCTTTGGCTCCATAGGTTTTTTATAAGCTAGTAAAATGAAGGGGCTCTATGAGTTTTTCTAGTGCCTGGAGATTCACTCATG